ATATGAGAATTCTGGGTGAAAATCTTTTTTCAGAACTGTTGAATATTGGCCCACTCTCTTTGGCTTGGTAGAGTTTACTGCCAAGAGACTCATGCTGTGAGATCGTGATGGGCTGTCCCTTTTGGACGTAACCCGACCTTTTCTTGTTGCCCTTAAGATTATTTTCGCTGTCATTCAACTTTGGGTGAATCTGGCAATATGTGTCCTTGGAGTTGCTCGTCTTTGTGGGAGTATCTTTTGGTGGCGTTCTCGTGTATTCCTGGATTTTGAATGTTGGCCTGCCACTCTAGCTTTGGAAGTTGTTCTCCGGACTGATAGTCCTGAGGAAGTTTTTCCAACATTGGTTCCATTTTCCCCTCACTTTCAGGAACCCCAATCAGACATAAGATTTGCGTCTTTTTAACAATCCCATTGTTCTGCAGGCTTTGCTCATTTCTTTTTCTTCTTTTTTTCTTTGGTTTTCTTCTCACTTCATGTTCGTTCATTGACTATGGACGCGTTTTCTTACAGTTGATCTGAAGCTGCAGTTACTGAAGCTTGTGCCATTTGCACGAATTATTCTCGGTGTCATGTTTTTCATCTCTTTCATTTGCGTTATGACCTTCTCTGCATTGAATTTACTCTAAGCCATCATATTCTTCCACTGTTTTTTTCAAGGATTTTTGTTTCTTTGCATCTGGTATCGTAATTCCTCCTTTAGCTCTGGAGAAGTTTGAGTGCGACTCTGAAGTCTTTCTTCTCTCATCTCGCAAAGTCATTCTCGTCAGCTTTGATCCATTCTCGTGATGAGCGGCCTCCTTTGCGGGGAGATGCCGCTCTTATTTTTTGAATTTCCAGCTTTTGCTGCCTGCTTTTTCCCATTCTTGTGCTTTTAATCTGCCCCTCTGTCGTTTGATTGATGGATGGTTACGTATCTGATGGGGTTTTGGCTGGTAGGTGTCCTTCCTGTTTGATAGTTTTCTTCTAACAGTCAGGACGCTGCAGCTGTAGGTCTGTTGGAGATTGCTTGAGGTCCACTCCAGACCCTGTTTGCCTGGGTGTCAGCAGCACGAGGCTGCAGAAGATAGAATATGTGCTGAACAGCGAGGTGTCCCCTGGTCTGATTCTGCTTTTGGAGGCTTCCTCTCAGGGGTATACCGTCACCCTGGAGGTGTTAGGGTGTCAGACTGCCCCTAGTGGGGATGTTCCCAGTTGAGGCTACTCAGGGGTCAGGGACCCACTTGAGCAGGCAGGTCTGTCCTTCTCAGATCTCAACCTCCGTGTTGGGAGATCCACTGCTCTCTTCAAAGCTGTCAGGACAGAGTCGTTTGCATCTTCAGAGGTTTCTGCTGCTTTTGTTGTTGTTTACTGTGCCCTGTCCCCAGAGGTGAGGTCTACAGAGACAGACAGATTTCCTTGAGCTGCTGTGAGTCTCCACCCATTCGAGCTTCCCAGGCAGCTTGTGTTTACCTCTTAAGCCTCAGCAATGGGGCGCCCTCCCCAGCCTGCGCTGCTGCTGCGGTTAGATGCAGACTGCTGTGCTAGCAATGAGGGAGAGGCTCCGTGGGCGTGTGGACCTCCCGGCCAGGTGTGGGATATAATCTCCTTGTGTGCCTGTTTGCTTTAAAGCGCAGGCTATTGGGGTGGGGAGATTACCCAATTTTCCAGGTGTTGTGTGTCGCAATTCCCCGGCTAGGAAAAGGGATCCCTTTCCCTTGTGCTTCCAGGTGAGGCGATGCCTCGCCCTGGTTCAGCTCTCGCTGGTCGGGCTGCAGCAGCTGACCAGCACCAATGTCCAGCTCCCTAGTGAGATGCAACCAGTACCTCAGTTGAAAATGGCAGAAACACCGGTCTTGCTGTGTCACTTGCGCTGGGACTTGGAGACTGGAGCTGTTCCTATTTGGCCATCTTGCTCCGCCCCCCTCCACTAGCCATTCTTAAGCCCAATCTTTCTTTGTTTCCCCCTTTACAATTCTCTTTCTATCATGCCTTTTGGAAATTCTTATCAAGCTCTTCATTTAAGTAATTGATACATATTCTGTTAATCTGTGGATATTAGGACAGATGAAAACTTCTCTTGGATAAAATAATATTCCTGGCCAGGCGCAGGGCTCACACCTGTAATCCCAGCACTTTGGGAGGCCAAGGCAAGTGGATCACAAGGTCAGGAGTTCGAGACCAGCCTGGCCAACATGGTGAAACCCCATCTCTACTAAAGATTGAAAACATTAGCTGGACATCGTGGCATGCCGGTAATCCCAGCTACTCAGGAGGCTGAGGCAGGAGAATTACTTGAACCTGGGAGGCAGAGGTTGCAGTGAGCTGAGATCGTGCTATTGCACTCCAGCCTGGGCAACCAGGGTGAGAATCTGTGTCAAATAATAATAATAATAATATTCCCAGGATGATCTCCTAAGACCCAGTTATTTCATTGCCTTCTTAAGCATATTAATATAATAAAAGAGTTTCTTTTTCAAAAGTTTATGATTACTTCACCCAAATTCTGTATTTCCTTAAAATCTCTTTTATAAATGGTTAATACATTAATAGAAGGGTTTTTAAAAATTTGTCAAAATGTGTAGTTAATACATTGCTTCAGTTCTCTCTTGACTTAGCAGCACAGGAAGCTTCCACTTGTCACTGATAATTCAATCAGATTTATCACAAGAGTGTATTGTTGATATTTGGATTCTATAAATAGAATTGAAAATGTTACGGTTATAATACCTATTTGGCTCATATTTCTCTATTTCATTTATTTCTTTTATTAAGTCATTTTTTTCTTCTAGGCTGCTTTGTTTTTTGTTTGTTTGTTGTTGTTGTTTGTTTCTTTTTTCTTTCTTTCTTTTTTGTTTTTTTTGAGACAGAGTCTCACTCCTTCACCCAGGTTGGAGTATAGTGGTGTAATCTCAGCTCACTGCAACTTCTGCCTCCCAGCTTCCGGTGATTCTCCTGCCTCAGCCTCCTGAGTAGCTGGGATTATAGGTGCCCAACACCACGTTCGGCTAATTTTTGTATTTTTAGTAGAAATGCGGTTTCACCATGTTTTCCAGGCTCATCTTGAACACCTGACCTCAGGTGATCCACCTGCCTCAGTCTCCCAAAGTTCTAGGATTACAGGCGTGAGCCACTGCACCCAGCCTGCTGCTTCATTTTTTTTTTATGCAAGATAATATATTGTTTTTACTTTTCAATCATTTATAAACTTTTCAGATCTCCAGTTGTTAATTAAAAGAGAATTTTTAAAAGCTTGTTTTGCTGTTCATGTAATTATTGTTTATTTTGTGTAGAAGATAATTATTTTTAAACTATTGAAGAAAAAGCATTAGGTTCCTGAGTATATGAAACAGAAGGAAATGGAAAAAGAAATGATCAACTCAGGGACATAGATAAATTACTGAAAACTATTTCTTAAAAAAACAGTAGCTGTGGAGAAAACAGAATTAAATTTGCATACTGGGTCCCTTTGCATACTCGGGTAGCATTTATTATGGAATATGATGAAGGAAAACATCAGGTTGATTACTGAGAGTGTATTCATTCTGACCTAAAACAACAGCAACAAAAACATGTGGAAGAAGTAGTTATTACAGTTATTAGGGTTACCGGAGAAGCTAAACAATCCGCAACTACATATTTTTAATTTTGTTTTATTTTGTTCTGCCTTATGTTTGAAGAGTTTGCATTTGTTTTGAATCTATAGAAGAGGGAGTCACTTTACTTGTGCGGGTGTCCAACACTTAGAATTGCTTCAGAGGAAAAATCAGCTACTTTGCATGCTACCTTAAATTGATTATCACTTAATCTTCACAACCATTCTATGAAGTAAATACAATCATTAATTTAGTGATTAGAAAACTGAGGGTTAGAGAAATTTAGAAAACAGACCAAACTCATAAAATTAACACATTGTGCTGTCAGGACTCAAATTCAAGTCTCCACATATTCATGCCTTTTGTTAATGCTGATGTTACCATGTAGCTGTCTGTAATATGGTTTAATACTACAAAGTGCTCTCATAGTTAGCTGAGACATCATTTACATAGGTGATACAACTGAGGTTAAGAGAGTTTGTGACTTTCCTAAGCAACACTCAGCGAAGTAGAATTCAAATCTGTCTCAATTTCTTTGGCTTCAGCCTGAATGTTGACAGAATATAAATAACAAATTCCTTTGGTTTGTGGATCTCTATAATTTCCAAATATTAAATGTTCTATTCTGTTCCTTACTGACTTTCTTTTTTTCTTTAGTTGCCTAGGGGAAAGCAACCATGATGGGCATGGAATGATTGTGTGAGTTCACAGAAGAGAGGATTTCAGAGAGGGTGCAAGATACGACCAAATATTGACACCGCTTCACCTCTACTCCAAATAATGCTTCTGTGCTACTTTTTAGACATCTTATTCTACACTTACAAGTGCGATACAATGAGATTACAAGAATGTGCTGAAACAGTTAAGTATAGAGATAATTTTTAGGAGTTCCATGTACAGATAGAAAACAATTTTGGTAGTGTTTAGACTGAAGGCAAAGATTGTGGATCCCTACTTGATGGGAAATTAAAAGTAACAACAGTCATATTGCTATATTGATATCATATTTTTATATCATATATTAACACATTTTTATAACTTCGTATCACCTAAATGTTTTGTTTTCTATAAAACCTTTGAAAGGTACTTAATTACACACATTAATTTAACTTTGAAATAATAGTGATATTGAGAACACTATCTGAATTTTGATTTTGAACTTTTCAAGCAAGACTCTATTTTAAAAAGCTTGTATTTAAAACTTCACTAGCTTGTTAATCTAAGAAAAGACCAATTCATTGTAGGCTACTAAAGTAGCTACTGCCTTTTCAAAGTCCCAAATCTTTTAAACCTCTTTTTGCCTTCATTTTAGAAACATGAATAGCAAGACTCAAATCCGGCAGCCTGATTTCTGCAAGGTATTTTTCTCTCCAAAGGAGGTAATGTATTTCTTAAAACAGTCTTTATAATAAGGAAATGTGTGTGGAAAAATATCAAGGGTTAAACAGAGCCATGCAAATTAGCCATCTGGATACAACAACGTTGTCTTGCCTAATATTTAGTTCACTTGATTCATAGTCTTATAAAAAATCTCATTTTTTAGCCTTTGCAGTATTCCAGTATATTTGACCAATCCTTATGGTTCCTCAAATAGACAGTTCCCTTGAGAGCTTAAGAACTCTGTTGCTAAAAGTTGTGAGAAAGGATGACATTATATAAACAAACAAATTTTGTGATTTGATGGGTAGGCAGATTATGTACAGCAGAGGCCAAAGAGCTTCTACAATTTAAGGAGGAATTATGGCATTCTTCCTCCTATTGTTTGCTGGAGGCTTGTCTATCTACTTGTGTGAGGATGTTACTCCAAATGTTTAAAAAAAAAGAAAAAAAGAAAAAAAAAAGAAAAGAAAGGAGGAGAGAGAATAGAGGAAAGGTGAGGAAAAACAGAGAAAGGCAAATAAAAATTGATTCATTCTTATCAGTTTACAAATAATGTTTGAGATGTTTATTCTGATGTTTATGACCTTCACTGTTCTAACTCTATTTAATGTTCTAATTTGTGTTGCAACAATTTCTGTTCATTTGTCTTCTGTTCCAATTGAATGAACTTGCCACTACTCCCACAGATGTCCTATGTGTTCCTCCCTAGGTGCCTTTGCTCGTGAGTGTACCTTTTTCATATCTATTCCCTCTCCCTAGCAACCACTTCCTATTTTTTTCAGTTGAGTTTATTGAGGCATGGTTTATAAATTAGAAAATATACTCAAATGAAAGTTTCAATGAGTTTTGACAAATTATTATGATATTTTATATAAAAAATATATACACAAAAATTTATTCATGATCCTTACAATGAAATCTGCCTTCATTCCCATGCACTTTTACAAACACCCTGAACACAAGGCAAAAACCAATCTGCTTTCTCACATTGTAGATTATTTTTGTCCTTTATAGAATTCTACATAAACAGATTCACATAGTATTATTTACTTTTCTATATGTGGTTTCTGTTCCTCAGTATAATGGTTTTTTCAGATTTATCATGTAGCTGCATTTATCAGTACTTCATTCATATTTATTGGTAAGTAATAAACCATTATATAGATATTACCAAAAATGTATTTATCTGCCCACATATTGTGAAATATTTGTTTGTTTCCAGTTTCTGATTATATGAATACAGATTCTATGAGCATGCATGTTGAAGTTGTGTGAAAACATGCCTTTTATTTCTCTTTAGTAAATGCATAGATATAGGATTGATAAGTCATATGGTTGGGTTTTTGAGAAACTGAGATAAGCTGTTTCCCCAAGAGTTTGTACCACTTAAAATCCCACCAGAAACTTATAAGATTGCTATACATATTCACCAACACATGATATTGTATGTCTTTCTGATTTAACTGTTGTAATGGATGCATAATGGCATAACATTGTGGATTTTATACGTATTTTCCTGACGACTAATAGTGCTGAGCTATATTTCAGGATTTTTTAAAACAATTTATGTATTGTCTCTGTATGAGTCATTTGTGCATTTTTTTCAGGTCATTTGTTTTCCCATTTTAAATTTCAGTTTCTTTTTATGGATTTGTAAGAATCATTTCATCTATAAGTAAAAATTTTTTTTTGCTTCATTTTCTATCCACAGGCTATATATGTGTTCTCTAGTATTATTCCACTAACTAGGTCCTTCTATATGTTGAGTAGGTGTGTTGAAAATGTTGAATAGGTGTGTTGAAAGTGCATATTTTTAGTTTTCCTTTGATCCTGGGTGAAAGCCTTTAGTCTGTCATCATTAAGTTTAATGTTTAGTTGTTTGCCATGAGTTATTGTTTTGTGCTTGTTGTTTATCAATAAGTGTTACATTTTGACCAAGCATATTCTGCATCTGTTGAAATAACTATATGGTTTTTTTTTTTTTTAATCTATCAGTACTGTGAATTACACTAATTGTTTTTAATGTTAAACTATACTTGTACTACTGGAATTGTTCATTTGTCAAATATCTTTGAACTGTACACTTGGTCAGGTGGTATTCACATTTCTTTTGGTCTTGGGATTCCATTTGTTAAAATTTTCTTAAGGATTTTTGTTTCTATGTTCCTGAGATATATTGATCTGCACTTTAATTTTAATGTCTTTGTCTCAATTTTTTATCATAGTAATGCTAGCTTCATAAAATTGGTTTGAAAGTACTCTCTCACTTTCTAGTTGTTGCAACAATATGCATAGAATTTATATTATTTCATTTTCTTTTTTTTATACAATTAACCATTAGAGCCACATGGGTCTAGACTTTTTTTGTGGGAAGTATGAAACTACAGATTCAGTTAGCTTAAATAACATGAATTATTCAAGGTATCTTCTATTCTAATGTGTTTTGTTAGTTTTGAATTTGTTCATTGTACTTATGTTGAATTTATTCACAGTACATTGTTTGTAATGGGCTTTTGTTATGGTGTTAATATTAATTGTAGAATCTTTCTTTTTCTGAACTGTCTGTCTAGGACTTTATCAAAATAAGCTTTGGGGCACATTCATTTTCCTATTTTTATTTCAGTAGAATCTGTTCTTACTAAAATTATTATTCCATTCCTTCTGCTTATTTTGAGCTTAATTTGCTCTGCTTTTTTTCAAACTGTATTTTAAGATGGAAATTTAAATAATTAATTTTAGGATTTCTTCCCCTTGTAAAGCCATAAATATTCTTCTAGACACTGTTTAAAATTGAATATGTTGCATTTTAATTTCCATTTAGTTCAATATGTTTTCTAATTTTACTTGTAATTTCTCCTTTGACTCATAAGTTATGGGAAACAGTGAGACCAGAACAAGTATTATTTGAAAACCTGAGTAATGGGATAGGAAATCAAGGAAATGTGGTTTGAGTTTGTATATTTATAAGGGCAATAATCGTTCTTTAGGAAACTGCATTAAGAACTCCTTATTAAAATTGTTATTTTTACTCATTATAAATTTTACACATATTTATTTGAGGTTTTCTTTGTGTCAGGATTTTTACTAGATCCTGGGACCACAAGATAAATAAGACAGAGAACCCTTTCTGTCAAGGTGATTTTGGTCTAGGTGGGGAAATGGCAAAATATTCATATAATGCTGTGCAATAGAAATATTTGTATTTTCAAATATTCTAGCAGCAATGTTAAGTAAAAAAAGTAGAATGAATTTTAATATATTTGATTTAACTGTATATATATCTAAAATATCATTTCAACATGCAATCAATGTAAAATTATGAATGATATATTTTGCTACTTGGGTACTAAGTCTTCAAATATCCAGGATTCATTTGACTGTTATAGCATATCTTAATTCAGACTGGTCACTTTTGAAGTACTCAGTACTCACGTATGGCTGATGTGACTGTATTAAACCTCACAGTATTCTTGAAATATACAAAAATTGCCAATTTAGTCCTCTCAGGAATCTGTCTTTATTACATTGGATAAACTTCACGTCAGAAAGATTTAAGTAACTGATCCATGATGTTTCAGCAAATAAGTAAAAGAGAGATGGTGGAAACCAAACGTATTCTGTATTACTTTCATGACCCTTGCTATATGTATAGTATCTAGTTGCCTTGATTCCTGTCTCCTATTAACTCCTGATTTCTCCTAATCATCATTTTAAGTCATATAATAAAAAATGATGTGCTCAAGCATCACTGGGTCTGAAAGTTGAAACAAAGTGCTCTTACTGATGTGAATAAAGGCTAAGGACAGGAATGTAATTTCGTCTCTCTCTGTCTGTCTCTCTCTCTCTTTGTAAGAGATGGGATCTCAGTATGTTGCCTAGACTGGAGTGCAGAGGCTATTCACAGGCATGGTCATAGTGCACTGCAGCATGGAACTTCTGGCTTCAACCTCCCACCTCAGCTTCTAGAGTAACTGGGACTACACGTGTGGCTGCCCAGCTACTTATATGTGTGTGTGTGTGTGTTTGTGTGTATACACACACACATATACACACATATATATACACACACACACATATATGATATATATGTACATACACATACATATATATACATATACATATGATGCTATGATGCTTCTCTTTACAATGCTGGTTAGTCAAGTTTATATTCTTTATACTATGTTTTCTTACATCTTAAAAGAAGTGTAAAAGTATATTCAAAGGTGAAGTACTGTTTTTTGGCAGTCCTAATCCTTACTCTATTTCCCTGCTAAGAGTTTTAAAGAATAGTTGGGAGAATTCTATTTGGATAATAAGCAATAATGGGTTATATTTGGTTAAAATGATTAAGGTGGGCTTTCCTGTAAATAATCAGATAAAAAAGTTTTCTTTTCATTTATTGACTAAGAAAATGGGTCTGGTTGACAGGATTAAGGGTCTTGCACCCAAGCAAAACTATGTCAAAATGTTACTAGTATTGTCTAGGCTTATTTATAAGACACTAAATCTATGTCATATTTTTGAGATTAAATTTCTTGTGTCCAAAGAAGTTTTTGCATATGTATGGATGAGAAATCTGCAAAAACCCATGTTAGCAATTAACTGACTTGTTGAAAAAATTTAGACTCATTAATCCACTCACTCCCTGAGACATATATACATATTTATTAGGAATGAGTGATTTGAGTGCTGGAATTGCTTTACTGAAGCCACAAGAGTTCTGGTTTCTAACATTATGTCTAATTAGATGTCTAAACTTAGACAAATCTTTTAAACTGTCAGTGTTGTCTTCAGTTAGTATAGTCTGAAAACTTAGAAGCCTATATGTATGGCTCATGTCCATTGAGCATTCAAGAGTGAGACAAGGCTGTGTTTCCATTTTGTCCAATCAGATATATAGGCAAAAGTATTTGATTCATCACAAGAATTCTATGAAGAGCTTTGATTCCTAGGTTTCTGCTTATCAGCTCCTAAATCTTGCCATATTTTTAGACAATAT